GGGATTTGAATCCCAACCTGAATGACTCCCAGTTGATACCCACCACCAGAGTTTTCAGATATTCCAGCTGCATGCTGCATAGCACCAGAGGCCAGTGGAGGAGATTTCTGTTTTGGGAGACGCAGGACTGCAGGGCTCAAGGTGGAGACCCTGGGATTTCAAACACAGACAAGAGGCGGGGCGAAGAATGCCAGAGCACGCTCACCCACACTGGCTGCGTGCCAGCCCCGAGGAGGCTGGTCTTCAGGAGTGCCGGCCCTACCTGGGGGCTCCCTTCACAGTTAGACCAGCGAACAAAGACACTCAGGTGCTGGCAGGCAGACATGAATAAAACTAGATAGTGTGTGATGCAATAGGGAGGGGTGGGGACTGTGTCAACTTATGTAAAAAAGTTTATAAAAATGTTAAACATTAGGCAGGCAACACCAAAAACACTTGAGCAGTCTGTCTCCAGGCAGTGATTGCTGGCTTAGACAGTCAGCCCCACGAGGGCAGAACCAGGTCTGTCATGCTCATCAGTGTATCCCCACCATAGTCCAGCACAGGGCTTGGGATGCCCCACTGGCAGCCAGTCTAGTCACCCTCCTTTGACCTCTGCCACCCAGCAGGGCTGGGCAATGCGGTGGGTGGAGGGACCCCACCCAGCTCACGTGGCTGTGCCTTACCCACCCGATTTCCTACTCCCTCCCTTCTTCTCTTGCTTCCCAGCAGCACAGGCCTGGTTCATGAGAATTTTCTTAGAAAAGAAAGATTGAGTACTGAATAGATGTTGGGAAGTCAGAAGTGGTTAAGATCAAGGGCTCTGGAAACAGGCCTGGTTTGAATCTAGCCCCACCTCCTCCGAGCCACAGGACCTTAGAAAAGTTACCTGGCCTCCCTCTGCCTCAGTTTCCACATCTGTAAAATGGGAATGATGGTAGCAACTAACTTGTCTTTTGTGAATATTAAATTAGAAAAGGCTTATAATTTTTGGAGCAGTAACTTAGATAAGACACGTCATTTTATGAACATTAAATTAGGTGACAGAGATAAAATGCCTATGACGCCTTACACACGGCAGGCATTTAATTAATACTAGCTGCTGTTTTTCATTGCATGGACCGTTCCTGTTTATCAAACACCTACTGTGTGGCAAGCTCTGTGTTAAGAATTGGCCTTTGAGATAATTATTCAACAAGTATTTATGGAGCATAAACCATGGGCAGACCCTTCACAAGGCACACGGGTACCACCCACCATCTCCCCCTCGGTGCGGAGCTCATGTCATTGTCCGGGAGACAGAGCAAAAACTATGATGGAGCAGAGCAGCGCGGGGAGGTAAGGTTAAGCCACTTGCCCATGGTTACACAGACAGAAGTGAGTGGATTACAGCGTGTCTCTCGTGGGTTCTGCCTTATCCCACCAGACCCTGCCTGGCACAAAGTATATGCTCAGTAAACGTCTGGCGAACGGATGAATGGCACTGGATCCTCACAAGATCCTAACAGGAACCTGCTGATACAAACAGGCCCAGGACCGCAAGACGCGTGAAGGAGGGCATCCACCCACGGCATTCCGAGGCGTGGACACCAGCCCCAGATGCTCAGGCCCTGCGGCCCCGCCCTCCCGCCACCACGTGGATTTAAAACCCACGCTGCCGCCCGGCTCCTGCCCCTCTTCCGCGATTGGGCGAGGCCGCCCGCACTTGTGCCCAGTCGTATGGCTTCTCCCAGAATCCGAACTTGGGATTGGCCCGATCGTTGTGTCATTTCGGGCTGCCCGTGACGTCATCGGTGTCTGGCCCCCCCCCCTCCCGCCTCTCCTGGGTCTTGACTAGAGTTAAAGGAGCTACGGGGAAGACGCGGGCATCGCTTCAGGGGCGCTTTTAAGTAGCAACCTTTAATATTTTTTAAAATTAACGTTCACTGCAGAAACTACAGCAAACAATATAAGGGACATGTACATTTCATTTAATCCGTTACACAAAGCTAACCACTATTAACATTTTGGCATTTCAGTCTTTTTTCTGATAATATAATTTTACTTGTACAAAATTGGGATCAGTTCTGCAGCATATTTTAAAATTTGCTTTATAAAGGACTTTTCTCTCCATCACCAAATAATCTTTGAAAACATCGTTTTAAACAGTTGTATTATCTTTGACCTTCTTTGTAACCAATCCCCTTTTCCCCCCTAATTTTGTTGCACTTTTGCTTTTAAAAATGAGGATAGGATCACTATTCTTGCCCATCATACTCAGTTCCCTGGTTATGTCCTTAAGATATGTCGTAGACATGGAACTAGGGGATGAGGACACTCATGCTTTAAGGGCCTAATGGTCCATTGCAAAACGGTCTTGCATTCATTCAGTGGGTATGTACTGATCAAGTATATGTGCCCACTGATGCTGAAGCTGTGGGTATAGCAAAGAGCAAGACCAGGTAGCCCATGGCCCTTTAAAAATTGCAGTGCCCTTTCATCACCTGTGAAGCCAGCTCCCGGACACGTGTTCCCAAGCCCCGTATGAGCACGTGGACTCCCTGTGGAGCTGGCCAGATCTCCAACCCTGGCAGAGACCTGCAAAGGAGGGCAAGGGAGTTTTCTGGGTGCCACTCCCTTGTGGGGGCGTCATGGTGCCCCCCTCCTCTGGATTCCAATAGTGCTAGTCTGGTGTTCTGGAGGTGCTGGGGACATCTGAACATCTGTCCCTGGGACCAGACACTGGGGGCATACAGGGCACAGTCCAGCTGGGACGAGAGACATCAAACCAAGCAACTCACAAATTCACGAACAATTACAATTTGGGGTAACTTCTCCAAAGGGAAGAAGGGGATTCTAGTGTTCCTTAGGATTTTGTTCCAGACTTGGAGCTTCTGGAGCACAGAGCAGAAATAATGATTAACTTTTCAAGAGCTTGTTTCTAGCCAGGCCTGAGACTAAGTACCATCCAGGCGGTTTCCCGTTTACTTCTCCCAACAGCTCGCTGAGGAAGCACCTCTGTGACCTCCATTTTAAAGATGAGGAAACTGAGGCCTGAGTCGTTAACTCTCCCCAAGTCGCACCGTTGGAAGTGGTAGCACATACTTTCATGACCTCAGTTTTAGGCATGAAGAATTCAATGTTTGGGGGATGGGTCAATGATGAGTGAGCCCCCCAAAGAGTAAACTCGGTGAAGGCAAAGCCAGGTTTGCTACGGTCGCTGTGTACCCCCAGGACCTGGTGCACCACCTGGCTGGCAGTAGGGAACTGCCTATATGCGCCCGTTGCTGGCCCAGGCCAGAGCCAGGTGGACCCAGCCCTCCCTACACCCTCTGTGACTAGCCTGGCGTTTGCCCTCACACCCAGCCCCTTCTCCACCAGCAACCCCTCCAAACCTAGCAGCAGAGTGCCAGGGCCCGGCCTGGCCCAAATGCTGTCTATGCCACCGAGAATCTCAATTTTACATTATTAATCACTCCTGACAACAGTAACATGTATCCCTCCTGAGAACAGAGACACAGAACATTTCTGTTTGGGTATTTCTGGTCCGTGAAATCAGCTTGAATGACAAACAGTTCCTTCTGGAAGTGTTTCAGACATGGGTTGAGCATCTAGAACAGCGGTTCTCAACCTTCCTAATGCCGTGACCCCTTAATACAGTTCCTCATGTTGTGGTTGACCCCCAACTATAAAATTATTTTCGTTGCTACTCTATAACTGTAATTTTGCTACTGTTACGAATCGTAATGTAAATATCTTTTTGTGTTCCGATGGTCTTAGGCGACCCCTGTGAAAGGGTCGTTCGACCCCCAAAGGGGTTGTGACCCACAGGTTGAGAACCACTGATCTAGAATCTTCCAAACCCCTCTCAGGCTCAGCCTAAGGCAGAAGAGTCAGCTATCCAGTTATTTATCGTAACCAAAGACCCAGCAGGGCCTGGGCTGGGAGTCAGGGACAGGATCCTGGCTTAGCTCTGACCTTCACCACCAGGTTGACCTTGGCCAAGTCACATGCCTGCCTGGGCCTCAGTTTACCCACCTGTCGGAAGACAGGATTTGGCTCTAATGTTTTTTCTGCCCACCCCTCATCTCCCTGCCTTGGTCCCACAGCCCTGTCTTCTCTGTAGAAACCAGTTCCCAGCTGGGAATGACAAATCAGAGAGGAGAGGAGGGGCTGGCTCCCATGATGGGAGGCTTGGGGGTGTGGGCGGGGATCTGTGACCAGTTTAGCAGAGCTTCTTTGGCTTGCTGCTGGAGAGCTCAACCATGTGACATTTGTCCAGGAGCTAAGCTCCTGTATCAGCATCTAAACATACACAACATAATCAACAAAACACACATACCCACCACAGCATAAATACACATACGCCCCATACATATATGTCACACACACACACACACACACAACACTCAGAACACACACACATCACGCCCTTATGGTTAAGACTTCGGGCTCTGCTCAAGTGCCAGGCGAGTGCTTGTTCTTGGGAGGTGAGGGCCTAGGTGTCTGGCTTCCCACTACTTGGCTAGCAGCTTGTCATTAGATGGGCATCCGGGGCACAGCACCAAAGGAGATGCATGTGGGTGGAGGGAGTGAACAGGCAAGGAAGACAGGGTTATCAGCAGGTAATGAAAGTAGCCCCAAATGGGACTTGTCTGTTTATGTGAGTGGGTGCCACTCATTTATTCCCCAGAGGGTTGCCAAGCACCTGCTGTGTGACAGACACTGATCAATGCACCCGCTGGGGAAGCATTGGGACAAGCCAGGCTGTCCTGCCCCCCTGGGGTTGCCAATCAAATGGAGATGGACAGTGAGCACGCAGACACATGAATTCGATGCCCCTGGTCACTGCGCTGAGGCCTTGACACACACACAGTATTTCACTGTGAAATACTGTTTCCATTCCCACTAAAGGGCTGAGGAGACACGCAGTGGCCCACCAAGGTCACACACATGGGATTCTGGCAGCAAGTGCCTGGAGTTGCCTCTCTGAATTTGGCCTTCACTTCCTCCCCGCCTGAGCCCACTTCCGCCCACCTTACCTCTTCCTGCAGAGGTCAGCTGGGAACCTCCAGGGAGCCCAGAGGATGGTGTTGCCCGAGTCCAGGAGCCAGGCCAGGGCAGATGCCAGCAGAGGTGGTGGGGGTAGAGGAGGGGGCAGAAACACCATTGGCTGAGGCTGGGCTCTGGGGTCCAAGTACCTGCAGTCACATCTCACACCACCTCACTTGTGGGTCCCTGTGCCTCAGTGTCCCCATCTGTCAAGTGGGAATAGTATTAGCTGAGACCTCATCTCGCAGTTGATCCACTGAGCTAACCCTGGCTGGCTATGGAATCTGGGTGAATGTCTGCTGAAAGATGAAGGATATGCAGTGGCTAGGGAGGGCCCGCCGACCAGGCGGCGTCCAGCCAACATTAGCTCTTGTGAGTGTTTAAAAGCAAAACAGGACAAAAAATAAAAATAAAAACATGAAGTCCAAAGATGCAAACTTGGGAACGTTGACAGGCTGATTAAATCACAGGCAGGACTTGGAGAAAAAAAAAATGACTCAGCTGGCAGGAGTTTCCAAAGGTGGCAAGTCAGGAGGAGAGGTTGTTCAACTGCTCAAACTGCCCAAGACTGCCTCTGAAAAGGTGGCTCTGTCCGCAGGCCTCTGGGCGGCAGGGGGGTGAGGGGAACACGGCTGGAACTGAGGAGGCTGGGTCCGCCTTGTCCCCACTCCCACTGTCAAAGCAGGCCCTTTGTTGACTCAGCCGGGCACTTTCCACAGCGCCCAGCAGGCACAGTTAGGACACAGCCAGCCACCCTCAGCCTCCGCCAAAACCTAGACTGGCTGCTCTGGGTTCCTAACCTGCTGCCAACAAGGGCCTGGCACCCGAGTGGGACTGACTACAGGGTTTGGGCTCCTTGTTCAAAACTTACTAATTAGTAAGAATTTCAAGGTGGTGACAGGAGAACATTAACTCAAGCACAGGGCCGGGACATCTGCACCAGCTGTTCCCCAAAGCCAGCCTTGCCCCGGTGCCTCTGGGAGCAAGCCCTCCTTACCGGCTCAGACGGGACCTTCTCTCTCTAAAGATCCCCCTGTGGCAGAACCAGCCCACACTCAGGGCAGACAGTGCACGTGCTGTCTGGAGGCCTGGAAAGGCGTGTCCCCAGCAGTCGCCTGGGGACACACACACTTTTCACAATCCCATGACCTGTAACCGGGTTGGGAAATATGTCCCAAATGCCAGACTTCCTGGAATCATGAGGATCCCTTAGCTCCTCTTCCACCAAGGGTGTTGGCCTGGGTACCTGTACCCCTGGCCTGGGACTCCCTCCCAGCGGTCCCACTTCCCCCACAAAGGCCACCCTGGCCCCCTGGGCTCCAGCTGTGTCCAGGCCAGGTCCCCCTGTATTCGTTCCAGCTCTTGTCTCTCTCTGAAGCCATTACCTGGACTTACATGTTTGCACACTTCTCGTCTGTCTCACCTGCGAGAACAGGAGCCCCGGGAGGGCAGGCATTTATACCTGGCCTGAGGTAGATGCTTGGTACATGTGAGAAGAAATAAAATGCTACCTCCTGAGGGTAGGCTTCCCTGATCACCAACCAGGCCTCTAGCTCATCTTTACCATATCTGAAGTGACCTAGTGTACCTATGGGTTTTCATGTGGGCCTGGCCTATCATCTGTCCTGCCCCCCAAAATGTCACATGAGGACAGGGTGCCCAGTGCCCAGCACAGAGCCTGGACCTGAATAGGGAGCATAATATTAACTGACCAAATGAAAGAAACTTCTTTCCCTGAATTGAGACCTCTTACCCATAGATGCAGGCTGGCCCAGCAGAGGTGGTCTACTCCCCAACACCCCCACTCCCAGCAGAGTGAGCTCTCCCACCTGGAGCATTAACTCTTCATGTGCCTGGCCTGACCGTGGGTTTGTGCACCTCAACGCTAAATCCCAAGCACCGCACAGGGTGCTGCCTGGCATCCGTCTTTCGAGATGCAGTTGCGACCACCATGCCTGACACCCTGTATGAGGCCTCAGGCAGAGCCAACTTTGGAACCAGGGCAGAGACGACTAACCAGTCCCAGGGGCCACCATCAGAACAGTGGCATCGCATTGTAGACGCTCAGTAAATGTGACCAGTGCTGTCGCTCCAGACAGATCAACCAGAGGTCAATGTTGGTAGGTTTTTGGTTTTTTTTTTAACTCACTGAATTAACTGGTTATTTTTGCCTGCTGGTGGTTTAACCTGGATTGTATAAAGCCTGCCTCATTTCCAGGACAATCAACGTGTGTGTTTTTCAGCTGCCAGACAGGCCAGATGTCTGCAACAGACTTTGAGGAGGGCTGGGGTTGGGCCTGACATGGCTGAATTCCTAGCACTCAGGGCTGGAGCTCAGTGAAAGTTTGTTGATTGAATGAATGAAGGCAAGGCTGAAAGGAGTGGGCAGGGATGGTGGTCTCCCTCAGCCTAGAAAATGAGTGGGACCCATGACCATCCCCAGGCTCAGCCAACATTTTCAGGGACCCCAAAGGAATGCTCAGAACCCCACCCTCCATCCCAGTTTATTCTCTAAGCCACAGAGGCTAAACTGCAGCAAGACCTCCCCGCACCCCACCTGCTGGTGAAATGGACCCCTCCTCAAGGTGGGGGCTGAGATTGTCCAGCCCACAGTAGGGGCGGCCTCCTGGGAGGCAGACCCTGAGTGCTCTCCCCATCCTGGTCCCTGGGCTTGTGCTAGGGCCTGCCTGTAGTTCTAAGAGTGAGCTGCTCGTCCCAAATGATGGCCAGTGCCTTTGAACCTCCCTCTGTTCTGAGCCCATGTGGGCTCCCCATAAAGCTCCTACCAGTCAGTCACCTCTGAACTTGAACCCTCCAGGAAACATTTCCTGCCTGCCCTCCTAAGAGAGCAAGAGGTATCATTGTGCTCAGTGTGGGGAGAGAATTCATTCACTTCTTCGGCTGACTTTCTCTGAGGTCTGCAAGACTCTGGAGTGGTTCAAGTCGATTAAAAGGAAACAAGAACTTTTAGACCCTTTTTCCCCCTCTGAATACAAAAATAGTCTCCGCTCATTACTAAAACTCCAGGCATTACAGAGACACGTAGATGTTTAGAGAACTAGAAACATATGTGGGGGGAGGGGGGGGGCGGGCAGATGCCCCAGGACCTGGGTTGAGCTCAGGCTCCACCATTGTGTGATCTTATATTAAGCAAGTGACCCCCAGGCCAGTTTCCGGGTCTGTAAAATAGGACTAATAATATTCCTACCTCTCACAGAAGGTGTCAGGTTGAGTTAATGTTTGGTAAGTTCCTGGCACACCGTAGGCCCTCGGTAAGTGCATGTAAAATAAATATTTAGGGAAGGGTCTAGGAGGGGACGCACCAAATTGCTAAGAAGTGGAGATGTGCCAGGAAGGGAGGGGCCACTTAATATTTCAATATCTTTTTAAACCAGGAGAATGTGTTCTTGTAGCACTTGTGTAATTAAAACTTAATGAAATAAAAGTACGCCTCTGCACTTTCTCCCGCCTCTTTTGCACTTGGGAGCCGCGCCACCCCCCGCAGCCGGTGGCCCCTCTGGCAGCAGACAATGGGTGTGGATTCAACCCCGGGCCCCGCCGGCTGGGACTTGACACAAGTCCGGGACTCGTATTTACATGACAAGGTCTCCGGGGCGTTTCTCGGAGCGGCCCGGGGCGTGTCTACGCGATCTCCGGTCTTTCCCCGTCGACCTCCTTGGGTTAAAGTGCGCTGGGGGCGCAGCGGGCTAAGGAGCTTCGTGGGGCTGCAGACCTGGAGGCGGGGAGTTTCCTGCGAAATCAGGTAACGGGTGATCTGGAGGGCTTCCCACCCCTTCTCTAACTTCCCCTGCCCGGAGCCCCGGACCTCGTGCTTCTTTGAGGGGACAGGCTACCCCAAAAGCCTGGGTCAAGGACTCGGTGGGGGGCGAGGCGGTGGAGAACGCATCCCCGAGGGTGCGGCTAGAGCTGAGTCCGGCTCACCCGGGCCGGGGGTGTGCAGGGCAGGGGTCCCAAACCGAGCCGCTTGGGAAGCGTACTCGGCGCCCCGCCGCCGCGCGCGTCCTGGGTCTGCGCCGGCCGCCGCGCTCTGGCCCTTTAAGGGCCCGCCCCCTTCCCCGTCACCCCGCCCCTGGGCCCGGGGAGGGTGCGGGGGAACCTCGGCGGGGATTGGCGCAGCGCGCGCCCCCTCCCCGGCCCCCGCGCGGTGGGAACCGGCAGCCCCGTCTAGCGCTGACGTCAGACCGTCTGCCAGCCTCCGACCGCGGTCTCGGAGCGAAACCCGATCTCCTTGGACTTGAATGAGGAGGAGGCGCTCGGCTGGGGGAAGCCAGCGGCAGAGGCTCAGCCCCGGCGGCAGCGCGCGCCCCGGCTGTCGGCCCATTTCCCGGACGCCACCCGCTGGCGCTGCCGACACCCCCGGGGCCGCGGAGGGGCGGCCGGGGGGGCGCAGCGGAGCGCGGCCCCGCGCACTGAGTCCCGCGGCGCCCCGGAAACTTGGCGGCATCCGGAGCCCGGCGACCCGGGGCGCCCCTTCCCCGCCGCGCGCCTCCTGCAT